GTTCACTACCTTCCTCCCTCTAATCTTTTCAATTTACCCCTTTCCCAAACAGTATTAAAAAGCTGCAGAACAGGGGTCTCTTTCTTTGAGAGTTTTTCAAAAGAAAACAAGGTTTTGAGCAGCCTCTTGGGGGGGGGGGAGAGGTGAGTATATACAGTCATGAGATCCTCGCTAACTAGGGGGGGGAATGGCAGCTGGAAAACAAGAGATCAGTGAGAGCTGCCTGACTGCTTGGGTGCGCAACAGAGTGACCAGACGACAGGAAATCCATTTTTGAAGCATCTCGGACCAACAGGACCAGACTTTATCAGGTATCAAAAAAAACACGGGGCAAGGGGTGGGGGGAATGGAACTCAGGCGACTCAGGCACGACAGACAAATGTTGCTGTTTGATCATGCACTTTAAATCCATAAGGGAACAGCAAGGGGAACGGATCAAATTGCCCGTGTGAACGCAGCCACTGTCTGAAATTCCTCAATGAGACCAAAGATCATAGAGGACAGCGTGCTCACCAATATCTTCTGGAACCAGGAAACCAGAAATTGTAACCAGGAATGGGCCTTTCACATGAACTTTTTGGTTCAGAAAATTCCAGAAGAGCATCACTTGAGAGTTAGAGTGGAAGGGACGGTCTTTTCCTCAAGAGGAGGTGCCCAAGAAAAGCCCCGAACAAAAAGGCTATTATTTCTCCTTTCTCTTAAAGAAGCACCCAAGTTTAGACCTAGGGAAAGTGGGTTGTTCTTTCACTGTTCGTTTGCGCTGGTGTTTCTTGCTTGACTCAATATTTTTGTAATCAGTGGTTTTATGTATTATATATACTCTTTGTCCTTGTTTCAAAATTGGTATGTCAGTTTGTCACTTTTGCAGCACATAAAAGCCTAAACTTACGCCCAGTGCTTTGCAGGGTACAAAGAGAAAGTGGGGAAATGCCTGCCTGAATATGAATTATGACAGACTCTGAAAATGTGCCCCTGTGGTCAGAGCAGAATGTAATATATAAATGCATAATAGATTGATGCAGGAGGCCAGGGAAGGTCTGTGGCTCTTTATTTGAAGCAGAGCTTTTAAAGAATCAAAGGGAGGCGACATGCAGCAAAATCCAAGGGATGTCTACTTAGAAGGAAGTCCTGATTTATTCAATGGTGCTTACATGTACATAGGCTTTTGCCTTTAAGAACAGAAGAACATCAGAAGAAGCCTGCTGGATCAGACCAGTGATCCATCTAGTCCAGCATCCTGTCTCACACAGTGGCCAACCAGTCTGGACAGCCAACAACAGGGCATAGAGGATGAGGCCTTCATAGGAACATAAGAAGAGCCCTGATGGATCAGACCAGTGGTCCATCCAGTCCAGCATCCTGTCTCAAACAGTGGCCAATCAGTTCCTCTGGACAGCCAACAACAGGACATAGAGGATGAGGCTTTCATAGGAACATAAGAAGAGCCCTGCTGGATCAGACCAGTGAGGGTCCGTCTAGTCCAGCATCCTGTCTCACACAGGGGCCAACCAGTTCCTCTGGAGGGCCAACAACAGGGCATAGAGGCTGAGGCCTTCTCCTGTTTTCACCTCCTGGCGCTGGGATTCAGAGGCTTCATTCCTCTGAATGTGGAGGTTCCCCTCAGTCACCATGGCTAGTAGCCAAAGATAAATGTCTCCTCCATGAATCTATCTAATCTCCTTTTAAAGCTGTATATTCCTGTGGCTATCACCACATCCTTTGGCAGTGAATTCCACATTTTAATAACTCTCTGTGTAGTATTTCCTTTTGTCCATCCTGAACCTACTGCCCATCTGTTTCACTGGATGCCCTTGAGTCGTAGCATTTTGGGAGCGGGAGAATGCCCTTCGTTCACAGAAAGATGATCCTGGGAAACAAGCTCCCGGTGGTGGGAAGCTGTGACAGGGTCTTACTTCTATGAAGAGTAAATAGGCTTAGTGACATGATCTCCTCATTGAGGTGTAGTAACTTGGGACCTGGACCAGGAGGATAGATTTCTCACCTCCTTGGTAGAACAGAAGTTCCTGACTGTCCCCTGGGAAGAACAGGAAGTGAAGTCAGGAGCAGCTAAGGTTGCTACGCAGAGGCAGGCAATGGCAAACCACCTCTGTTCGTCTCTTGCTGTGAAAACCCTACAGGGTCACTGTAAGTCAGAGGAAACTGGACAGTCCTTTACACCTACAGAGGGAAGTGATCGCCCGGACCACCCACTCAGTGTTCCCTCTAAGCCGAGTTAGTGTGAGCTAGCTTACAGATTTTTAGCCTCCGGCTCACACATTTTTGTCTTCGCTCACGAAGGACGGCTCCAGAGCAAACCAATTTATGCAGTAGGCAAATTGCTCGCTCACAACTTTAATGCCGGTAGCTCACGAAGTAGAATTTCTTGCTCACAAGACTCCACAGCTTAGAGGGAGCATTGTTCCCACTGCATATCTCTTGGAAGGAAAAACTATATTTGTGTCAGCAACATTTGGGAAAGGGCTCTTCCTGAGTGGGAGACAGTGACCACTGTCAGGTTTGGATATGGGAAGGCAGGCCTGAAGCCTCGCTGCTTATGATGCACTTTGGGTAGATCCATTTTCTCACCCTACCTGGTCTCACAAAGTTGTGTTAAAGCTCACATTCCTCCAACACTTTGTTACAAAGTCCTTGGGGAAAGGGCAGGGTAAATGAATAGAACCTAGTATAAGCCAAGCATCTGATTAGATAATAGACCTTTCTGTGGTAAATGGCTCCCATTTTGACAATCACGGCCTTCCTGGACCCGATTTCCAGTCCACGCTTCCAGCACCTTGGACAGAGCTTCTGGCTCCTGACCTGGGCTCCCCTCAACTCTGCCTATATCTCTGCTTATCTCCTGGTGAGATAATTCCGTTTTTAACATGTGCACGATAATCCATTAAAAATAGAGTATTTGCAATTTCAATTTTCACTTGCCTTTCTCTGTACGGTGACTTTGGACTACTGTTAAAAGTTTCAAGCAAGCCCTTCTCCCGTTCTCCTTGGTTTTTTTTTGGGGGGGGGCGGTTTTTGGTTAATCTTGCTTTTCACAGGCATCAATAACATCTTCTCAACCACAGTTTGGGAGATTGTCTTGTTTTTGCCATAGCAAAATAATGAAAACTGGTTTCCGGCACAAAGCCAAGGACTTCCTGTTTCATAGTCACGTCAGCCTTTTAAGAGTTTTAGGTTTTAAGGTTACTTTATCTCCATATTGTATAGAAAAGTTTTATAGTGAGTGGATAGTCTGCCAAAGGCTCCAAAACGGCTCCAAAACGGAAGTCAACTGGGGGTGGGGAGAGTCGGCAAACAGCAATTCTATCTAGAGCCTCATTCTTTCTCTCCTTTTATTCCTGTTAACTTTATATCCTTTCTCACCTACCATCAATTCTTTGCAAAAAAGGTCTGAAACCCCTAACTCTGAATAGACCAAATTTTATAATCAAGTACAGTAAGACATACAAATTCAGTGCTGTTGCAAGCTTGGGTTCTGATTGTTGTGGATCCATTGAGAAAGGGGAGGATTATAAGAACATAAGAGATGCCAATGTTGGATCAGGCCAAAGGCCCATCCAGTCCAACACTCTGTGTCACACAGTGGCCAGAAATACCAGTGCCATCAGGAGGTCCACCAGTGGGGCCAGGACATTAGAAGCCCTCCCACTGTTGACCCCCCCCCAAGCACCAAGAAGACAGAGCATCACTTGCCCCAGAGCCCCTATCTATATCTTGTGGCTAATAGCCACTGATGGACCTCTGCTCCATATGCTTATCTACTTCCCTTTTGAAGCCGTCCATGCTTGTAGCCGCCACCACCTCCTGTGGCAGTGAATTCCATGCCTTCTTCTTGTCGCACTGAGGAAGCTGCTGCTTCTTGCTCCTCTCTGCTGATGCTAGAAGAAACTGGGCACTGGTGGTGGATAACTGAGCAAAAAGGTGGACAGGGGTGGGAAGCAGGGCTCTCTGTGGCAGCTGCGCCAGAAACCATAGCTGCTACAGTCACTCAGAGACCTCTCAGGACATGGAGTTTCTGCATGTATTAGATCTGCAAAACCCAGCTTACTGAACAGGTAGCAAGATAAAAACAGCAAAGTAATGACACATTAGAGGCTGAGAATGTCAAGGAAACTGGGTAAAGAACCGGATACAATACAGTATCTGGTAGGAGTGTAGTGCTTAAGTCTTGGTAACGATTTGCAGGTACATTTGCCTTTTTCTTTTTTTTTTGCTTCTCCCTGTCTCTGATTCCTCTCCTGCAGGGATTTGAGCTTCACCCTCTATGTGCTTGGCCCTCTCCAACACTAATGCATGGATGTTGGCATCTGAGCGGGCCAGGAGTGGTGGCAGTAGGGCCCCCACCAGAAACGGTGGGGTGCTGGCAGCTGTCCCATCTCAAGTTACGGCTGGCCCCATGAAGATATTGATTGTAGCTCCAGTACTTTATTCTGTAACCCATTAGTAATTAAATAATGAGTAAGAATAACACTTAGATTTAAATAAGCAGTTCAGACAATATTAAGATTTTCACAACGATTTAATTTTCGTACAGAAGCTCGTTCAACTGTTAAAGAAAGATGTAATTTCTTTTATCATTCATAGATGATCGCTAACTTTAGGAAAGTTCTGGTTTATCCTGTAAAGAGAGAATCTATCCCAAAATTCTGTAGTATTGATGTTTTAATGTCTGCTTCTATATTTGAAATATGTAACACATTTGGTAATACATCTGATCTTACCTTTTGTACGTAACAACTCATGTTATTTGACAAACCTGATGAATTTATATTTGCCCCTCAACCCCCTTTTTCCTTTTGTATCCCATATTTCCCCTGAGTAAATAATATTTTTTTTAAGTTATGCTGGCACCTGCCCTGATACTGATCTGGATAGACCAAGAATTGGTATAAGGCAGATCCATGTGTACACCTCGCACTATGCCCAGTCTATGTTGGATGCAGCAGAGAATGCTTGAAAACCTAAATCGACTTCTCTGATTTCAGGGGCCTTTTGCATTCCGCTGTATGTACCCTACGTCCTAACCGGGAAATGGACCTTTGGGAGAAGCTTTTGCAAGCTCTGGCTGGTGATGGATTACCTGCTGTGCACCACTTCAGTCTTCAACATTGTGCTGATCAGCTACGACCGATTCCTCTCTGTGACGAGAGCGGTGAGTCCCGACTTGCAGACAGCTGACAGACTACCAGGTCTGATGGTCTGGTGTCCTTCACCTATCGATGGCCCTGGGTCTGACTAGAATTATCATCCCTTACTGATGTTCTTTGACTCTTGTATGAAATGATGGGGAAATTATGTTTCCTACCATGCTGCAGGGAGGGAAGGCAGCTTGGTATAGCCTGATCTCACCAGACCTCGGCAGCTAAGCAGGGTTGGTTCTTGTATGGGGGACCACCAAGGAAGACTCTGCAGAGGAAGGCAATAGCAAACCACCTCTGCTTCTCACTCATCTTGCAAGTCCCTTGCTGGGGTCAACGTAAGTCAGAAGCTAAGCAGGGTCAGTGCTTGGAAGGAAGACCTGCAAGGATGACTCTGCAGAGGAAGGCCGTGGCCAACCACCTCTGCTTCTCACTTGGCTTGCAAGCCATTTGCTGGTGTCACCAGAAGTGGGTTTCTACTTGACAGCACATACGTACGTACGTACCATGGGGAAACCAGGCCCACTGTCAGCATTGGTACAAAGTTAGAGTCCCATGGCACCTTTTAAGGCCAACAAAGTTTTATTCAAGATGTGAGCTTTCATCTGCCTGCACACTTCATCAGACGATGAAATGGAATCGCAGATCATAGTTGTATATATAGGTGGCTTGTTAAATTAGCATGCAAAATAGATGTGTAATTCCATTTCATCGTCTGACAAAGTGTGCAGGCACACAAAGGCTTGAATAGAACTCTGTTGGTCTTAAAGGTGCCATCGGACTCTTACCTTTGTTCTATTGCTTCAGACCAACGCAGCTGCCCGCCTCGATCTGTCAGCATTAGTGTTCGTGAGAGCCAAGCGTGCCGAGGGTGAAGCTCAAATCCCCGCAGGAGAGGGATCAGAGACGGGGCAGACAAGAGGCAAAAAAAAGCAAACGTACCTGCAGGTCATTACCAAGACCTGGTAAGCAGTTCAGGCAGGTTGACGATTATTGGGAAGAACAGGAAGTGAAGTCAGGAGCAGCTGAGGTTGCCGGCAAGTCGACAGTCCGAAGGCAGAGTCCAGGGGAGCCCAGGTCAGAAGCCAGAGGCTCTGTCCAAGGTGCTGGAAGCGTGGACTGGAAATCAGGTCCAGGAAGGCTGTGACTGTCGATACAAAACTACAGGTCAAGCAAATGTCTACGCCTGGCTTGAAAACACTGACAGCTAGATCAGCTTAGAAGGAAACAAAGAGAAATCCCGGAAGGAGAGTTGCACTGAGAACAGTTCAAACACCTGGTTTATTTAGTTATTTACATTTGGTTTCCCAGCAAGGCTGCCCCCAACACAGAGGTGAGGGGGCTCCTTGATTGAACCGCACTCCATATTGACACCTTCCCGCAATATCGGAAGACTTGTGCATGCATATGAAAGGTTATACTCAGAATTAAGCTTTGTCGGTCTTAAAGGTGCCACTGGAATCAGACTTTGTTCTATGGCCTCAGGCCGTCACGGCCGCCCCCCTGAATCTATCTTCCCACAATAAAGTTGATGCAAAAATTGTTTAAATCCCCCCCCCCTTTGCTTTTACAGGTCAAGACTTTCCCTTCTGCGAGGATAATTTGTCCGATAAAAGCCTGGGTCTCCTTGAAATAATAATTCGAGATCCAAGCAGAAAGATTTTTGCAGGTGGTAACAGAGAAACTCTGACGAATTAAAGACTGATCTTGACATGAAGCTGTGCACCCAATAGTGGGCGGAATTCTTAATTGGTATACACATTGCAGGTTTTGCTGTCTGAACAGATGATGCAGAAAGACAGACAGACAGACAGACAGACAGACAGATGATAAATAGATAGACGATAGACAGACATATAGACAGACAGACAGATAGATAATCATCACTCATGGCCCAATTATCTGAGAAGACCCAAACTCTGGGTTTACCTGGGATCAGTGTTCCCTCTAAGCTGAGTTAGTGTGAGCTAGCTCACAGTTTTTTAGCCTCCGGATCACACATTTCTGTCTTAGCTCAGGAAGGATGGCTCCAGAGCAAACTGACTTATGCAGGAGCCAAAATCGCCTGCTCACAACTTTAATGCCAGTAGCTCACAAAGGAGAATTGTTGCTCACAAGACTCCACAGCTTAGAGGGAGCATTGCCTGGGATGGTTCCCTTCGGAAGAAACAACACTGGAGACTTAGGGTGTTTTTATAGTTCCAGAGGGTAGCTGTGCTGGTGTGCAGTAGAACAGTTAGATTACACATGGACATACACACAAAGCTGCTTTATACTGACTCAGACAATCGGTCCATTAAAGTCAGTATTGTCTACTCAGACTGGCAGTGGCTCTCCAGGGTCTCAGGCACAGGACCTTCACATCACCTACTGCCAGATCTTCTAACTGGAGATGCTGGAAATCGAACCTGGGACCTTCTGCATGCCAGGCAGAGGCTCTACCACTGAACCATGGACTCCCCCGCCCCCAATCAAGCCCAGTAGCACCCTAGAGACCAATTCAATTTTCAGGGTATAAGGTTTCAAGAGTCAAAGCTCCCTTCGTCAGACAGGGTTCCTTATCTTGTCTCCTGTGCTATTTAACATCTACAGGAAACCGATGAGAGGTGAAAGATAAAAAGGTATGATGCCTATTGTAATCAGCGGAGGTGAAATGCTTGGGGTCAGGAAATTAGCTTCTGTAGTGAGATAAGAACCCCATGTCCCTATTCAGCCCTGGGGGAGACATTGTTCTTGTGGATGAACCCAAGTTCAGCAATCTCCCATTGTCATCTCCCTTTGAAGTTTCCTTGTTTGAGGACTGCTACTTTTCGGTCACCGATGGAATGACCTGGAAGATTAAAATGCTCTCCCACTGATTTTTGAGTGCTGCAGTTTTTAATGTTGGATTTGTGTCCATTTATTCTTTTGCATAGGGACTGAACTGTTTGTCTGATGTAGAGAATGGAAGGGCATAGCTGAAATCTGATGGCATATATAACACTGGAAGATGAACAGGTGAATGACCCTGAGATGGCATGGCTGATGTCGTTAGGTCCAGTAACAGTGCTGTCGGAGTGAATATGGGGACAGAGTTGGCCTCTTGGTTTGTTGCAGGCCACCGTCCCAGAGTCCATGTCCATGTTAGGATGGGTCTTGCTGTGGGTGAGAAATCGTTTAAGGTTAGGAGGTTGTGGGTGAGAAAAGGTTTTCTTCCTGATGCCTGTGAGAGAGGAGTATCATTGTCCAGGATAGGTTGTAGGTAGTTAAGGATGCGTTGAACTGGTTTGAACTGAGAGCTGTTCATGATCACCAGTGGTGTTCTGTTGTTGTTTTCATTGGGCCTATCTTGTTCTTGCTTTATTTGCAAATATGAGGCCCCGGTCACACGGGCAGGAAACTGCGGGGGAGAAGCGTGGCTGTTTGCCCTGGGGCAAACTACTGCGCAGTTACGTGATCAGACCTCCTGTGGAGGTCCTGTGGAGGTACCGTGGAGGTTCCATGGCAAGGGAGAGGTGCCGATCACAGGACAAACCGGCGCGCAACGAAGTAGCGCGCGCCGCGGCAAACTGTTTTGTTTTTGTGTGTACATGACAAATGCGCATGCTCCGTTGGGTGCGCGTGCGCATCCACAGAGACTTGGACAAAAAAACCCCACCTTATTTGCAAGGGGACATGAGCGGGCGCCGGATGCCACCGGAAACGCGATCAGACGCACGCCCTTGCCCCGCAGTTTCCGGAAACTAGTACCTCCGAGGTACTAGTTTTTTGCCACGCAGTTTCGGCTGGAAGCCTCGGTTGAGCCACGGGAGTGCTACGCTTCCCAGATGGGCTGGTGAGATCGCGCCCGGAAACTCCGCTTGTTTTCCGTCTCACTTGTGTGGCTTCTGTTCCGTGTGACCGCAGCCTGAGGTAGGTTAGAGGCGGAGGGAAAGAGGCATTCCTACAGTTCAGCTGATCTTCTCCCCATGTCAGATCCCCAAGTAGAGAGACCCTGCACCTCAAGGGACTTAGCCACCTCTTACCTCTGATAGATCTTTTGCCCACAACTCTCCATCACCTAAACGTATACTTTCTTTTACAAATACATACACTTCTTTCCAGCTTGGTGGGAAGTTCACCTCTTCCTAGACTTACCATTTGTCTGGTGGCAGTGAACAATCTCCTGTCCCCCCTGTTCTCAGTCCCTGGCCCTTGATAATTCAAAGAGCAGGAGGAAAAAAAATGGCAGATGGCATTGATGATGATACTCTAGGAATTTCCCCCAATCTCAGTGGCAAAGATCATAAAGATTGGGGGACTCCTAGAGCGTCACCCAGAAGTGATGTCACATCCATTGCTCCTCCACCCAGAAGTACCATCATATCTTGCATGCTGGTCTAGGTGTTTCCCCAATCTCTATGGCAAACGGCATAATGATTGGGGGATTCCTAGAGTGTCCTGTAGAAGTGACATCACATTTCCTTGAAATGCCACCCTTCCCAGGCACTGCCCACAAATCTCCCAGAGCATAGAGCTGGCACCCCTATGGCTCTTCTTGAACGAAACCATTCCCTGACATTTGACATTTGTCAAGGGGATATATACCATTGTTAAGACACTTAATCCTCCCCTTTGTCAATGGATCCATAATTATCAAAAGCCAAGCTTGCAACAGTATTTAATTTGTATGTTTTACTGTACTTGATTGTAAAATTTGGTCTTTTCAGGGTTAGGGTCTTCAGATCTTTTTTGCAAAGGATTCTATCTATTTATTTATTAGATTAAATTTGGTTGAC